ATCAGTCAATCAAATCAAGCAATAAGTCATTAAAACTATCTCTACCATACTTTTCTTCTGTATGTACACAATTGTTTTTTTTTCTCTGTATAGCCCTTGACATTTGGAAGGTTTGCATATCCGCAAGCTGAAAAATAAGATCATCGGAATATATTAATTGTTGACGCCGACGCCGATACCGGAAACAGCATACCTAAGTCTCGCTTTTTGACTCCGTCAAGGCGAGACAAAAACGGCAATTAAATATATTCCATATACTAGATCCGTAAATAGCGTATCAAAGAATGACCGTGTGTATTAACAAAAAAGAGTGCAGACGTATATGTGGTCGTACATTGTAATATCAGCCACCATACTTTCCAGGTTTGAAGCTTCTATTTTGCTGTAATAGTAAAGTACACGTCAACGTACAAATAGCAGTATCAGATTTAATGTTTTAACCAAAATGTGACTACAACCATGTTACAGTTGTCAGTGTCAGGATATAGGCGTTCCTGAATTTATGCAAGCACCAAAAGTACTGCGGCTTCGTGCAACCATCGACGGTAATTGGGAAAGGCACTTTAACATTTCTATATAACTATTGACGATATGATATACTGTGATATTCTAACTTATATCTATGTATTAAACATAATACTGGTAAATCTCGAGAATCGAATCTGCTATCGCCTTATTTGGGCCGATGTGCGATATGAAGCTTTTGCTCATGTATATCATCATAAATGTTGGGTTTTTTTTTGTTTTTTGTTTCTTTTTGGTTACACTGACAAGAATCTACTCGCATTGTATGTACTTGCTCTTTTCTACTCTCTAATGAATCGGTACTGACAAGTTTTGTAATAAAAATGTATTGATATACTTTTTGTGTCTTCAGTATTGTCAAATCTCATATCTGTAGTACATTTACGTATTTTATGGATTCCGTACTGAATTATTAGTAGAGGGTAGAAAAGTACATGTACAGTGTGAGTAAGTTCTTGGTAGTGTAGATAATACCAACAATGGATCTTTTTAAGTTGGGGTTTTGTGGGCGGGGGATGGTTTGGGTGTAGAAAAAAACCACTGCTCTCTATATATACATCATTTATCTATAGGTACTTCGTTGTGAACATCAAAATACCTTTAAACATTGTCCAATATCAATATAAGATATTGAACGATTCAAACCAAAATATGAAAGAATGAGTTTGCTATGAAAAACTAATTGATGCTGTGCTTGATAACGATGTAAAATTCCGCTTCAAATACTAGAAAGAGTGCATTTTGTATATATTTTGACTGCTTGGCAACATTTGAAACAAGCATGCATGTTAAGATATGTCTTTGTGCCTTTGATATTCTTAGTGCAGTGCATATATTCAATCACTGTTATAACCTTGAACAAGAATGGAATGTTATCAGTGTCTTTGATCTGAATGTGCCTGACATATTTGATACTGGACCTTTTAAGCAAACCACATTGCAGAAATCAATGAATAGATTTACAGTTGAAGTGACAGTTTATGTTTCACTGGGGTTGGGATGGAAAGACTTCAATACTCTAGTATCAATAGATTTACAGTTGAAGTGACAGTTTGTGTTTCACTGAGGTTGGGGTGGAAAGACTTCAATACTATAGTATATTAATAGATTTACAGTTGAAGTGACAGATTGTGTTTCACTGGGGTTGGGGTGGAAAGACTTCACTACTCTAGTATTAATAGATTTTCAGTTGAAGTGACAGTTTGTGTTTCACTGAGATTGGGATGGAAAGACTTCAATACTATAGTATTAATAGATTTACAGTTGAAGTGACAGTTTGTGTTTCACTGGCGTTGGGGTGGAAAGACTTCAATACTATAGTATTAATAGATTTACAGTTGAAGTGACAGTTTGTGTTTCACTGGGGTTGGGGTGGAAAGACTTCAATACCATAGTATTAATAGATTTACAGTTGAAGTGATTTTTTGTTTCACTGGCGTTGGGGTGGAAAGACTTCAATACTATACTATTAATAGATTTACAGTTGAAGTGACAGTTTGTGTGTTCACTGGGGTTGGGGTGGAAAGACTTCAATACTATAGTATTAATAGATTTACAGTTGAAGTGACAGTTTGTGTTTCTCTGGGGTTGGGGTGGAAAGACTTCAATACTATAGTTTTAATACATTTACAGTTGAAGTGACAGTTTGTGTTTCACTGGGGTTGGGGTGGAAAGACTTCAATACTATAGTATTAATAGATTTACAGTTGAAGTGACAGTTTGTGTTTCACTGGGGTTGGGGTGGAAAGACTTCAGTACTATAGTATTCAAAATGTATAAAGGTAGCGGTACAAGTCAGACCATTTTTATATTACTGTCTTTTGACTCCAAATTATATAATGTTTCGACAGGTTACCTACTCTATGGTAGGACATCCCGGTACCTGGTCAAGTAAGAGCAGTCAAAAGAAGTAAAATCAAACATATAATCGGTGTAATTTGGTTGGAAAGTTGACTGTTTTCTGATGATTTTGTCGTGTATAGAATACATAAAACAATTTAGTTTTCCCAAAAATTGCACCGATTGTAAGCTTGATTTTACTTCTTTAAGTTGCTCTTACATGACCGAGTACCAGGATGTCCTACTACAGAAAAGGTAACATGTCGAAAAAATAAACTCCGGAGTCAAAAGTCGGTAATATGAAATCTATGTCTTACGTTTTAGCCCACCGGGGCCCAAAGGGCCCCATGTGAGCTTATGTCATCACTTGGCGTCCGTCGTCGTCGTAAACTATTTCAAGAATCTTCCCTGAAACTACTGGGCCAAATACCTTCAAACTTTAACTGAATGTTCCTTAGGGTATCTAGTTTATAAATTGTATCTGAAGTTTTGATCCATCAACAAACATGGCCAACATGGCTAAAGATAGAACATAGGGGTCAAATGCAGTTTTTGGCTTATATCTCAAAAACTTAAGCATTTAGAGCAAATCTGACGAGGTAAAAATGTTCAATAGGTCACGATATATCAGCCCTGAAATTTGCAGACGAACCGAACAACCCATTGTTGGGTTGCTGCCACTAAATTGGTAATTTTAAGGAGATTTTGCAGTTTTTGGTTGCTATCTTGAATATTATTGAAGATAAAGATGAACTGTAAACAGCAAAAATGTTCAACAAAGTAAGATCTACAAAAAAGTTAAATGACCAAAATTGTCAATTGACCCCTTAAGGAGTTATTGCCCTTTAAAGACAATTTTACACAATTTGTTCATTATGTTTGCTAACATTTAAAAATTTTCTCATCTGAAACTACTAAGCCTAATACTTCTAAACTTTAACTGAATTTTCCTTAAGGTAACTGGGTTATAAATTGTATCCGTAGTTTTGATACATTAACAAAAATGGCCGTCATGGCTAAAAATAGAACATAGGGGTCAAATGCATTTTTTGGCTTTTATCTCAAAAACTATAGCAATTAGAGCAAAAGTGACATTGAGTTAAAATGATGAATAAGTCAAATCTATCTGCTATGAAATTTTCAGACCAATTGGACCACCCATTGTAGGGTTACTGTATGAAATAGTTTATTTTTATGAAATTTTACTGTTTTTGATTATTATCTTTAATATTATAATAGATAGAGAGAAAGTGTAAATAGCAAAAATGTTCAGCTAAGTAGGATCTACAAATAGGGTATTTAGTTTGTAAATTGTATCCGAAGTTTTGATCCATCAACAAACATGGCCGCCATGGCTAAAAATCGAACATAGGGGAAAAAGTAGTTTTTGGCTTATATCTCAAAAACTACAGCAGTCAGAGCAAAAGTGAAAGGAAGTTAAAGTGATAAATGGGTCATGATCTATCTGTTATGAAATTTTCAGACATGTTCGACAACCCATTGTTGGGTTACTGTTGGAAATAGTTTATTTTTATTAAATTTTACTGTTTTTTTGTTATTTTCTTTAATATTTTAATAGATAGAGAGAAAGTATAAATGGCAATAAATGTTCAGCTAAGTAAGATATACAAAAAAGTCAACATGATCAAAATAGTCAATTGACCCCTTAAGGAATTATTGCCCTTAAAACGTTTTTTTTAACATTTTTTGTGAAAGTCTAATTACTTTTTCAAAAATCTTCTTCTCTGAAACTGCTTGCCCAAATACTTAAAAATTTAATTGAATGTTTCTTGGGGTATTTAGTTTATAGATTGTATTCGGGGATTTGATCCATTCAAAAACATGGCGGCAGTTTCTAAAAATAGAACATAGGGGTCAAATGAAGTTTTTGGCTTTCATCTCAAAAACTAAAGCAGTAAGAGCAAAACTGACACAGGTGAAAGTGTTAAACAGGTTTAGATCTACCTGTCAAGTAATCTTCAGACCAATAGGACAACTAATGGTTGGGTTACTGTCCAGAAATAGTTAATTTTTAGAAAATTTTACAGTTTTGGGTTATGTATTATCTTTAATATTATTATAGAAAGAGAGAAAGTGTAAATGACAAAATTGTTCAGCAAAGAAAGATCTACAAATAAGTCAAATGCCCGAAACTGAAATTGCAGGTGAGCGATAGCAGGCTCTCATGAGCCTCTTGTTCTTTTACTTTTCACGTTTTCTTATTTCAAATTTCGTGTTTCATTCCGATTTGTGCCTTTTAATGGAAAACGGTTAATTAAGAGAAACAACGTAAAACAAGACTTACAATTTGAAATGATTTTGTGGATAGCAATATATCTTAAACTAAGTCTAATTAGGATAAAATGTTTAAACGCATTATGTCAACGATTTGTTGTAACGTCACCTTATTAGAAGGCTTATAAAATCATCTAAGGAATGGTCTTGTTTTTCTTCTGACACATAATCCTTTTATCTAATTCGTGAAAATAGGTACCTAAGGTGTTACTTAACACAAGGATTTAACTTCTTTGCCTGATTTGTCACCGATTCAAATGTGAAGTCATAAGTAGACACATAAGGGGAAAATATATTAACCACAAAATACAATAATGCTATATTATGTGTTTAACAGTTACCTTAACCCACAGGCCTACCCGAGTGTAACAAAGCGTATGGTTTTATTGTGAATAGGATATCGACTATTTAAACCGAAGAATCCCATCTACAGATAGAGAACTAGGAGTTAATGTATTACTGATAGTCTATATCTTTGGAAATATATAAAATGTAGAAAAATGATGAAAAGCAAACGACAAAATATATTTTTAATTTTCGTTTTAACGTATTTTATATCTTCTACGAACGGAGGCAAAATTTTTGACCGTGTAAAAAATATTAATAACAATTTGATAAACATTAAAGTGAAAAAAGAATTTCGAGAATTGCGGATTGCATTTAAAGGAATACTTGTACTTGAAACTTCGGCTTTTCAGAATTCGTCGTATGAGTTAAAATTTCGTCAGCTGACAAATGGACGTGATTTAATTCAACTTATTTTACAAAATGGATTTATAAAAGATTGTGAATATTCCAGAGAACCAAAACAAATTCTGCAGTTTATTGAGAAATTTTCTGAATCGGATGATATTTTCAAGCCGGAAACAGTTGAGGAAGGAGATGCTTTCAATTTATATCACAGCGGCGATATCTCTAATGGCACGTCTGCCATCCACCATTTTCATCGCCGGAAAGAATTAAAAGATTTTAGGAGTTTCGTAAAAATAAAAAAAGCTATGAAACTATGTAATGAATTTGTAAGAGAAACATTGGAACAAAACGATAAGTACAACAGTTTTCAGTACATTCGGGTCAAAAATGGAATGCGTCGGGATGGAAGAGCCGTGAAAGACGTACACGGGATAACACATAATTTACCTCACGTAACAGAGGGAGGCAGACGAAACATGGATAATCCAGTTACTGAACTCAACAGACGGAAGCGTTCTACAGTTAACCAATTCTTAATGTTTCCTGGAACAAAATGGTGCGGACGTGGACAGACTGCTCTTCACTATGATGACATTGGAGACGATCGCGAGGCCGATGTTTGCTGCAGGGACCATGATTGCTGTCCGGACCTGATTCCTAGTTTTTCTACCAAATATAACTATTTCAACTACCGTTTTCATGCCATACTTCAGTGTGAATGCGATGAAAAGTAAGTATACAGTTGTCGATTTATAATTATTTACCAATCAACGTTTGAAGAAAAATTAACAAGAACAAGCAGAGCGCTCATAGAAAAGTATAAGGACTTAATATCCTGCTTCGCATGCGTTGTTGGTTATCATGGCCGCAGTTGATCTCACTCGGGTCTAGTCACCCTAAAAAAAGTTTGGAACCGCTTTTCTATGAAACTGGCACCCCTAAAAAATAATCTTTTTTTTTGTGTTGGGTTGCTGTTTCATTGTTCATAACTGTAGAATCTCATGATCAAGGGTTTGATTTTACAAAATCTCACGGAAATTTTCACCTTCTTAATTTTGACTGAACTTATACCGTCCAACAGGTGGTTTACATGACATCTGTTTTGGGTGACACTATCATGAAAGGTTGAAATGATTTGTATTGAATCCACTTCATTTTGTTACTAAGTGGGAGATATTGGGGAATTCTCAAAAGGCTACAATGTATTGACAGCTTGAATTCATTTTATTTACATTTTTTGTAAAACTGTATAAACCACTAATATCCATATCTGATTCTGTATTTAAAAAAATAGGAATAAAACGAAACGAAACATGTAGTTTGGTGTATTTCACGACTGATACCTTGTTAAACAGGTTCTACCTTTTTGTGTGTTGTGTTGGGGTTAGAAAAAAATGTCTTTAGGAGAATTGTTTGTGGAATATCAACTAACAAATCACCGATTTTTCAAAATAAAATTTTCTGTTTACACCCCCCCTGGTAGGCTGTTAATTTCATTTAAAAACCGACGAAAAAAAATTATAAAATACCCCCCCCCCCCCCCAAAAAAAAAATAAAAATAAATAAAAATAAAAATATATAAAATTAATTACACTTCTTATTAAAAGTGAAAAAGCAACAACTTTGCAACATTCCATAAAATGAATAAAATACGAAATGTGCTTATCATCGTTGTGGGCATTCTAACCGGAGATGATATAACTTCGGGGTATGGCATTCCATCCGAATGTACCTCTTCATTTAAGAATAAGTAGCTTAACAATCAATTAAAATTTTTGAGATATTTCATATGATCCGAATCTAGTTTGTTTAAGCCTGTTTATATTCATTAGGCGAAGTTTCTCATAAAATTAAATTTTAATCGTATCTTGGAACAAACAAGGAAATGTTAAGATAACTTTGAAGCAGCAGGACAATGAATTAAGATAAACCTATTTGTAATATCCCGCTGGCTGAAAATGTCTGTTTATAGATATTGAGGGAAAACGAGCACACGTCGACGAATAGAACTTTTCAAGATTAAAATTTTGGTACGCAGAATCCGAATATTTGAGAAGTTCAAGATTTGCTATTCATAGCAAAATTTTAAAACCCCTTTATTTGTTGAAACTGAATAAAATTTAAATAGGTGACAATAAAATTTAAGAAGGTGGGACAGATAAGTAGAGTCAAACATATCTTTATTGCTGTTTATGACGAAATTCTTATATTTCTGATTGCGTTTAAACAAACGTTAATTACAATGGTCTGCGAAAGTCAAATTTGAAGTGATATATATTAATATTTAGAATTATAAGTAGTCGCAACAATAAAAAGTATACTGTCTCTGTCTGGGAATTTTGACTGAAGTAGGACTTTAGGACGTTAGTCTTTCGAAAGTTCTTGTAACATTAACCAATAAAACACTTGTTACACGTTTTACATGCTGAACATAAAATTTGAATTGACAATAAATGAGAGAAAATAAAAGTTTGAAGTACTGTGTGCAAACAAGTCAATATTACACGTTTCTTTTGATCTCTTTACTCAGGTGCAAAAAATAGCAACACCTGTTTAATAAAAATTACAATATTATGTGAAAACTGATCAAATAAAAAGAAGTCATATGAACTCTATAGATTATTCTTTTTAATACTTTTGCTTATATCTAAAAACCAGAAACATTATAAAATACAATTTCTTTAATGTTTTAATCACATTTCATTAAGTTGCTTTTAAACGTATTACATTTCATTATGTTGCTTTTAAACATATTAAATTTTAACAATTATGTACATGTTTCAAAGTGGTACTCATAAAACTAAATTACTCCTCAAGTCTGAGAATTCATTCAATAACGTTAATATCATAAAGTGTACACATTAAATGATAATTGGGAAAAAGAAATTACAAACCTATTACAATATGGGAATTTTTATCTAATTTAAGCTATTTCATTTTTTTTAATAAATGACCATAAATGAAAAACAAAATCAAGTAAATCAACTTCTAAAGGACATATTTATAACAAAAATACGCGTTTCTTGCATCTGGAAGATTATGTGAATCTTCAACAATCTGCTTACTTATCTAACGGAAATCTATGCAGAGCCGTAGATTTCAATCCCGAGAGACATTGTTGAAAAAACATATTATAAAAGTAATGAATACATATGTATCAAGTTGCAGCATAGCCAGTATATCAAGATGACATTTGATTCGTCGATAACTTGGAAATGTTACAATTTTTTTCCCGATATTGGTTCAGTATGTTTTGGTATATTTGTTAAAATATTTCCTCGTTCCTTGTTCGGACATTTTGTTGTAATGATTAATACATTTGAAATTTTTTTTACAACCCAAGTATATTTTTTCAATATTCAATGATCTTTTTCTCGCTTTATATCTCTGTTAATATAAGCTGTTTCTAACAAAACGGATTTTTTTCTGCTTTCTTCTGTTACAAGTCTTCGCATCCTGGTTAAGATAATTGAGATTTTAACAAAATAAACATATTCCTTAATACGAATTGTTAGTAATTTCTGATATCACATAACAAGTGTTTAATGAAAAAAACATAAATAAACATTTCGTAGGTATTATCGAAGTATGTACATCAAATTTCACCAGACGAATTTACATAAATGTCCAATTGACGGATAAAATTGTTTTGCACCTCAAAGATCACCGGAGCGTTCTTTATGATAAAAGGGTTCGAGTTACCATATTTTTTCATTGTATAAGAAGTATTCCCCTTCAGACATTAAATATAAACCAATATTAAAATGTAATTATATGGTCGTAACATAAGATTAAAGGTTAACCACTTCTAGAATATCTTTATACGGGAATATTAAATGAATAATACGCTTACTGCATACCAATTTCAAACATGGGAATGATATCTTGTTTATATCAACCCTGTAGTCCTTACCAAAAAATGTTTAAGCAGACAAAAAAAAAAAAAAACATCGACAGCAGATTTAGATTCCTTTATCATTGCTTTTATGTTTCTAAAAATAGAACAGGATTGAAATAAAAGAAGAATGTGTCTGAGGACACGAATGGCCCCGCTCAAACTTGGCAATTTTCCAACTTAAAAAGGGGCACTACTCTAGAACGGTAAATGACTTTCTGCCCATTTTCTGTTATCGTGTTGTGGTTCTTAGTATTGTGTATGAGTTCCATAAAATTTGGAAGAGACAAACTTAAGTTAGAGTGCGAAACTAGAAAATTAGCAATTTTCCAAGTTTAAAAGGGGCATAACTCTATAACGGTAAATGACTTACTGCCCAAATTTAACTCTGCATGCGTATTGTGGTTTTTAGCATTGTGTATGAGTTTCATATAATTCGCACGATGCAAACTTAAGTGAGAGTATGGAAACGAAAAAAAATGCAATTTTCCAAGTTATAAAGGGGCATAACTCTAGAACGGTAAATGACACAATGACCCAAATTCGAACGTTGTCTGCGAGTTTTGGTTCTTAGCATTGTGTATGAGTTCCATAATATTTGGATGAGAAAAACTTAAGTTAGAGTGCAGAAACGAAAATGGGAAAGATGGACGGACGGTCAAGGGTAACTCTTAATGTTCCCATTGCCTACGGCGGGGGCCTAACAATGACAAATATAAAAAATATAGAGATGTGGTATGGTTGCCAATTAGACAACTATATCAATCAGAGAACAGAGGACGTGAATGTATGCAACTATAGGCCACCATAAGGTCTTCAACAATGAACAAAACCCACACCGTATAGTAAGCCATAATAGTGCCCGGCATGACCAAATGTTAAACAATTCAAACAAGAAAACGGCTGACTTATATATGTCTGCTTTTATAACAAAAACCCTAGAACTTAGTAGAGAAGAAACGACCAATATGAAATACCCCGAACTGAGTAGACCATAACTACCCATGCTAAAATACAGATCTGCAATTAAAGAAAATATACGATCAATACTAGTCCGGGTGTTTAACTTCCTTGACTACCCATGAGGGTCTCGCACGGTCAAACATATACAACCAGAGGCACAAGGGCGTTCATTTTCTACTTCATTCACATAATATCATTTACAGAAGAAGAGAGGGGAAACAGAAGCCGTGGTGAAAGGCTGAAAGCTTAGTTATACTAGTACTTAAATTGATCGTATTAAAACTTCCTGTCTCCTAAATTTTCCTATCTGACAACACTTTGTCATTACAACCCATTTATCTTATGATCGGGCTTAGAAAAAAAATAACAACGAATTTATTCAGAAGTGGACGAGTTGTTAGTAAAGCAATTAAATGATATCAGTCAACCTGTCCAGCTTGAATAGCAAAGTTTTCCTCTGTGGCTCACCACAATGATAGCAATCAATGGTTTAATTTAAGGTTATCTGATGGTAAACACTGCTAAATGGACGTTTCACATTTATTAATAATCAAAACCGCATCAAACTCCCAGATTTAAAAGAGACGAGTTTAATATTTTGATGCTAGGTCTGACATATATTTATGACTGTAATGTGATTTTAATTGACAATGTTTGATAGGAAGTCAACATTATAAATCAAATTCAATTCTGATCCTGAGAAACTAAAAAGGTCATCGAGTACTGGACATCAGTACCTTATTTTTATGTATACAAAACATTTGTTAATTAATTTTGGATTAAAAGTTTCTTGATTCTCCTCGGTTCGTTACTTTCTTTTAATTAATTAAACTATTATTCAATGAACAGTATGATGAAAGTGAAATCCTTCTAATTCTAAATAAATCTATTTGTTTTTCATTTGTGAAGAATATCATTACTTAGAATTCGGAGAATATATTTTAGCAAGGAAGGTTTAATTAAACCTTTTTTAGAATAGTAATAGAATATAACGAACTTTTTCCAACGTCACATTACAATACATAAACTAGTTTAACCCTGCCACATTCTGTATGTGCCTGTCCCAAGTCAGGAGCCTGTAATTTAGTGGTTGTCGTTTGTTGCTGTGTATCATATTTGTTTTTCGTTCATTATTTTGTTCATAAATTAGGCCGTTAGTTTTATCGTTTGAATTGTTTTACATTTGTCATTCGGGGCCTTTTATAGCTGACTATGCGGTATGGGTTTTGCTCGTTGTTGAAGGCCGTACGGTGACCTATAATTGTTAATTTCTGTGTCATTTGGTCTCTTGTGGATAGTTATCTCATTGGCAATCATTCCACATCTTCTTATTTCTATATGTATGCCTGAAATCCCTGCCAACACAAGTGTCAAGAGAAGAGCATATCACACAAGTATATTACAAAATTAAAGAACCTTTGTGAGCACGCTCACATACCCCACGCCCCCACATTGACACTGAGCAAACAAAATCTCACAGACTCATAACTCCTACAAAAGTCAATTGATAAAAATTTCTTGTGGATATGCACATTTACATATTATGTCCTTATTATCTACAAAGTTTCATGAAATTCTGTGGTGTGGTTTCAGAGGAGTTGCGATGACAAACTGTTGCATTAGTATATTGAGGCCAATAAGTTCAAAGGGGCATAAATCCTGGAAAAAAAATTAAATCATAATTTCCTGTCGATATGCACATCTACATAGTATGTCCTTATTATCTACAAAGTTTCATGAAATTCTGTTGTGTGGTTTCAGAGGAGTTGCGATGACAAACTGTTGCAGTAGTATATTGAGGCCAATAGGTTCAAAGGGGTATAACTCCTGGAAAAAAAATGAGTCATAATTTCCTGTCGATATGCACATATAAATAGTATGTCCTTATTATCTACAAAGTTTCATGAATTACTGTTGTGTGGTTTCAGAGGAGTTGCGATGACAAGAACAGGACTGACAGACAGACGGACGGACAGACAGACGGACGGACAGACGGACGGGTCAAAAACATTATACCCGACATTGCGTGGGGTATAAAAAACTGATATAGTACCTCAATCGTTAGGGAAAGGACATGAATTGTAACTCTAATAAAGTAGCTAATCCCAAAAATTGTCAGTAAAGAAAGTGGTTCGTGCAAAAGTCGTTGCTGGTAGGCCGCATGTCACTTAGGGTAATTAATGTCCATAAGTTGTTGCAACCGCCAGTCAGACTGAAGGTCAGATGGTATACCTGTCCACGAGTCATTGCTTAAGGTTGATGGGCTGATGGTTTTTTATGGTATTTCCCGTCCATTGTCATTGCTTCTTTTAGTGAGGTGACGGTTTTTGGAGGTATAGTTTATTGCTTCTGCGGGTTGGCTGATAGGGTCTTTAAGGGTATTTCCGTCGACAAGTGGTTGCACAATATGTAGGCTGAAGACCATGCACTGCGGGCAGAGGGAATGTGTTTGATACTAGTAATTCGTCCATATTTAAAGTCACTGCTTTTGCACTTTTTGATATATTTCTTAATAGATCCATTTTGATAGACATTAACAGATTATAAAAGATAAAAAAGACATCTTCCAGATAAAGCCCAGTTATAAATTTCCGAAAGAGTATATTCGTGTGCCAAATACATGAGTACACTATGAGCCTGTGTACACGATACGTGTTTTTGAAATGTAAAAACCATCATATTTAATGGGCTTTCTAACGCTCTTGGAAATGCTTTGCCTTGATTCATGCTACCGTAATTCAATTATAAGGACGACTTCTGTAAGTTTGCGTGTGTTTTCAGTGGAGCTGGTTCGTTGAAGTTACTCTAACACACCTTTTTCAATTATACATTTTTTATTATGAAAGTATCTTGTATTTTTATTTTCAGATTCAGACGGTGTTTGAAGCAGTCGTATTCTCCAATGGCAAGTTTCATTGGGCGTATTTACTTCAACATAATGGGATCCAAGTGTTTCAATCTGAAGAAAGACGTTGTATGTGTAGAAAGGTCTTGGTGGGGATATTGTTTGAAATATGACGAAGAACCAGTAGCTCAAATCAAATCTCAGGAATCATTTAACTGTTTCTAGACTTTGTTTGCAAAGTCAATGTACGGAAAGTGGATTTCAAGAATGGTCCTTTACTGGTATAGGCGAGACGAAACCGATAACATGATAGTCGTGTTGTTTTAACTTTTTGGTGTACAGATTAAGTCGTTGCGACGTCAAAACCGTTAAAAGGTTCGTAAAGAGCATACACCAGCCATTTGAATGGTCGCATACATCAATCAACCTTTTGTTTCGCATTTTCCATACATTGTAAATTGCTAATTTTTACTGATTCCAGAAATCGGCCAGTACATAGTTAATATTGCATGTTTAAGTATATGTACTAAATAACTTAAAACTACTTTATTTATTTATATGAATTAAATTTAATAGACATTATTAAACTAGGACACATGTTGCACTGAATTTTCGTATATCTTATAATCGTCTGTTTTGTATCAAAATAAATTTCGATCAGTTTCAATATACCGTATTTATTATGTTCATTCTTATTCAAAACCCAGTCAAGGGAAAGAGATAGATTTCATATGTAAATAAAGAAAAACTAACAAAAAGACCGTTCTGTCTTCTTCTGCAGTCGTCGACTCTATTGGATATTTATTGTGTCCATAATCAATTGATGTGCCTTCGAAACACTTGATTAATATAGCTTATCAAATTGTGGCTCAAAATTTCGTTTAAAATGCACATACAGCAATAATTTCATGAACTCAATTTACGAAGGAAACGTCTTAACATGGGAACTGTTTTATAGAATTGCTCACAGCAGAGAATAGGTTCACATCCGAGTTTAAGGTCTGATATATTATTGGAATTACTTGATACCTTTCCAAACAATCACCCCTGGTAAATACTGAAACAATTGATTATCACTGCATAGCAGGTAATACTAAGAAGGCAATAAATCACAATTATAAACCGAAGGACACCAACAGTCCACAAAACACTCCGCAGAAAACTATACTTTTAGCAACACGAACTTATTAAAAACCGATGTAAAGTCTGCTGCTCCGTAAGGGTAAGCAGTTTCAACTTATGACACCAATTATGTTTTCTATGTTTAGATACCCATATATTAATCTTTAAGTCGTATGGGAGTCTTGTGCCATCTTATATACATATGGTACATGTGTATCAAGTGCCGTTATTCTGGAGACGGCCATGCAGAAAGCAAACATTGCAACTAGTCTACGGCAAAAATATGGCTTTCTGGCTAGTCCAAGCTACCCAGATTTCTGGACACCAAATCCAATGAAGACCATGCATATCCGATTGAAAAGTTCCATTATGTAGTATTGGTGTCAATCGGATGACGAATATGGCTGCTATCATAGGAATATGGAAAATTGTAAAAAGTTAAGCAACTATATATAGATCACCGTCCTGATTCAACAATGAGGAAAACCCACACCGTGTAGTCAGCTATAAAAGGCATGACAAAATGTGAAACAATTCAAACGTAAAAAACCAACTGCCTAATTAATGACAAAACAATAAAAAGAAAAACAAACATATGACAGACAGCAACCAACAAAAACCACTGAATAATAGGTTCCTGCATGACTAGGGATAGGCATATATATACAATGTGTCAAGATTAAACATGTTTATGAGCGATCAACCCTATCCATAACCTTGACAGTGGTGTAACAGCACAACATGAGAAATCAAAGAGCTGATAGCTCTGAGGTGGAAGAAGATGCATAAAAAATTAAAGGTAACTTGAATTACCGTGAAAGTTTTTCTGTCAAAGGTATATAGTTCACTTTGGGTATTCCAACTTCCGTCGTATAAAAAAATCAAAGCACTGTAAGCGCTGTAGACAGTTAACCAAAAACCAAGGCAAACGTAATATGAAAACTGTGGCAGTGTTGCTTCAATTTTTTTTTTAAGATTTGAAAGAACAAACATTTAACATTCGTATATTGTACATTTATGTTTATCTAATGAATTGATTATTAAGGCATATTAATTAATATTTCATCAAGGTTTTCAAAAGCAACGCATATATATCAATGTAAATGACCCCCATCTTCACCCCAAGTCCATGATGTCACTCCATACCAAAATTGGAATAAAATGACAGGTGATTATAAAACAGTTGGTCAAACATTCTTGGGCTTTACACTGCTTGAAAGATTTATATGTTTTCTTTAAAATGAGCCATAAATATAAATTTTATAGGCCCAGAAATAATTCAAAAATTAATTAGTGTAAATTCAATTAATCTAGACTCATTTTTTGCATCAATAAAATTTTATAATAAACAAGAAATAATTGTAACAGGATGCCGTCTCCCAAACAAAGCTCCCATAATTCGTCATTCCCATGGTCGCCTGACATTGGGCAAAGTCCAGTACATATTGGTTTAGTCTAGAAAAGTGATATGCATATGTGACGCCTAGAGGATTGACCCTGTATGTCAGTCAAATCTTTTTGAAATGACGAACAGGAAATAAATATGGTTTAGGAGTGGGTATCTCGCCCGTTTACAAGTTCTCAAACAGGAGGGGGTGGGGTGACCCCAGGGACTCCCCCTATATTTCATTTGATTTGTTGTATTGTCCCATACACGAATATATATGGTTTAGGGGTGGGGATCTCGACCATTTCCAAGTTCTCAAACAGTAGGGGGTGAGGTGACCCCAGGGACTCCCCATATATTTCATTTGATTTGTTATATTGTCCCATACATGAATATATATGGTTTAGGGGTGGATATCTCAACCGTTAACAAGTTCTCAAACATGAAGGGGTGGGGAGACCCCTGGGACGCCCCTTATATTTCATTTGATTTGTTTTATTGTCCCATACATGAATATATATGGGTTAGGGGTGGGGATCTCAACCATTTCCAAGTTCTCAAACAGGAGGATGTGGGGTGACCCCATGGACTCCCCATATATTTCATTTGATTGGTTAAATTGTCCCATACATGTATAAATATGGTTTAGGGGTGGGGATCTCTACCATTTACAAGTTCTCAAACAGGAGGGGTGGGGTGACCCAAAGGACTCCCCCTATATTTCATTTGATTTGTTTTATTGTCCCATACATGAATATGTATGGTTTAGGGGTGGGGATCTCCACCGTTTACAAGTTCTCAAACAGGAGGGGTGGGGTGACCCCAGGGACTCCCCCTTTATTTCATTTGATTTGTTTTATTGTCCCATACATAAATATATATGGTTTAGGGGTGGGGATCTCGACCATTTCCAAGTTCTCAAACAAGAGGCGTTGGGGTGACCCCAGGGACTCCCAATATATTTCATTTGATTTGTTATATTGTCCCATTCATGAATATATATGGTTTAGGGGTGGGGATCTCGGCCGTTTACAAGTTCTCAAACAGAAGGGGGTGGGTGACACCGGTTACTCCCCCAAATTATTTTCATTTGATTTGTTTTATTGTCCCATACACGTATATATATGGTTTAGGGGTGGGGATTGCGACCGTTTACAAGATCAAAGCACATTTTCAAGTTGAAGGGGGTTGGGATGAACCCCAGGGACTTACCCTATACTTTATTTGACTTGTTTTATTGTCCTTTACTCATTACTGAAGACCGCGTGCGTCTATCACTTATTGTTTTCGAGAAATAGTCATTTGAAAATTTAAAAACTAAAACCCCATAGGGTTCTACAGTTAACCCATCCCTTCTTTAGGCCCTTCAAAATACCCCTAAATAGACCCCAATGCACAAACAAAAGATTGATGGCTCCGCTAGACATGTTAGTCTAACATTTTATGAAACCCTAAGTAAATCTGACAAGCGGTCCGAGTTGTCTTCTTAGACGGTTCGAGTGGATTCGGTCCGACTTGTCTCGGGGACGAGTTGTCCACATTACTTAAAACATCCCATCGACGTCGATTTCCGCATCTGTTTCATGACCTCGTTTCATTCATAAAACAACAACCTTATTTGTCAAGATAAGTTGTAAAATTACCACCAACTTAGATATATAACTTTATTTTCTCTATCATAGAGATTTGTTGTACATGAACAATATTCCTGCGCATTTTGCCATTTGGGAAATATAAACGACTTGTAATTACAGATTTTCGGCGATGAAATATTTCATACAATTGTTCTTTGACATCTTAGCCAAAAGCATAGGGGATAATAAACTCAGTACGGGTTTCTATTGAGCACTATTTCCTGTGTGCAACTTCAAATATTATGGGTCGTTCGACGATCATTTAAGGTTATTCTGGTTATATTGTTTGTATTCCAGAATTTAAAGTATGAAAAAAATGTCCATTTAGTTATAAATAACATATCAGCCTGCTAGATTATAACAATGGCACTTTTTTCAGCATTCGTTAGGTAGAACACAAATCTAGGGTGCTAGCATAAGGCAGCTTAACTGCCTAATAAAATGCTTCGCAGAGTGCAGCCTAAATACGACCGCAGAGGTCGAACCCTGAACAGTTGGGGCAAGTTTGGACACAATATTCAAGCTTGATACTGTCTGAATTTGGATTGTGATCAAATTTTTGACATAATATAGGTTTCTGACACAAAATAAATGTGGTCAAAGATCTTAAAAATTTGGAATGGGACATTTAATTTACCTAGTATGGTCTGATATCCAAAATCTAAAAACATGGTTAGATTCAGCATATAAAAAAACACTAACTTGAAATTTAATTTTAGTTGAAATCAAACAAAGTTTAATTTTGGACCCTTCAACCTTAATATGGAATAATTTGAAAACAGGGCCCAAAATAAAAAATCTAAATGCACAATAAGATTCAGCATATCATAGAGCCGCAATTAGTTTTTGTTGAAATCAAACAAACTTTAATTTTCAAATTGGACCCTTTGGACCTCAATGTAGACCAATTTAAAAATGGGGCCAAATATCCAAAATAGTAATACAAGGTTAGAACCCCCAAAAATTGAAGACTTAATTTAATCCCATTGAAATTGGTTGAAAGCTTTGTATTTATTTTCAATTGAAGATTTCTTGCTATTGCGCAATACTGTGCTGTTGTACAATACTTAGTTAATCTGTTTTATTAATAATTTACACACCCTGATTGGTGTGTATCTCCTGTCATATCAGTATGTGTTGCTTTTATATATAAATCAGAAATAATCATTGTAAAAATGGAAAATTTTTGGGAAAAAAAATCACCCCCCCTCCCCAAAAAAAATCTTGAAGAAAAAAAGTATGAACCCCCCCCCCCCCCCCCAAAAAAAAAATCTCCAACTCCAAAAAATTTGAAATTTTAAAAATTTTGAAGAAAAAAAATATGAACCCCCAAAAAAAATTGGAAAAAAATCCCCCCCCCCCCCCAAATTTTGTATAAAATTTTGAAGATTATTTTCTTTTCAGGAAAAATGTACAGTTCCAGAGAGTTCCATAAACTTTAACACAAGTTATTGTCTGGAAATTAGAAAAATTCTTGTTTTTGGCCCCTTTTTGCCCCTAATTGCTAAACGTTTGGGCCAATTACCCTCAAACTCAATCCCAGCCTTCCCTTTGTGGTATGGAACCTTGTGATACAATTTCAGAGATATCCG